GTGGGAAACAAAACTTCTTCATTGGAGAAGTGCTCCAGGGTGCACAAACCCTTATTTTCCACTCTTTTCCTCCCCATTCCAAGGGATTTCCCATTTTTTTTTTTGGGAGCCCCAGTTGTGACAAAGCAGTSAATGAAAGCTGTGGTTATCAGGCTGAGACATTTCCCCAGAGAACGGGAAGTGGAGTTTAATTATCCGGGAATTACCGCGGTGATTAACGAGGAATTAACAGTGGAATAGCAAATGTATCATCACATCAGGGCTGAGCTGCTGCAACATTGATCTATTTATACATGAAAATGTGGGATCCAGAGCAAATATTCCATAAATCCCATCAATATTCCATAAATCCCACCAACATTCCCAGCTCCACTGACAAAGACCACCATCCCATATAAAACTTGTATAAAACTCCTCAAAACATTTCAATGGGGTTGATTTTTTTCATTTTTTGATATGTTTGGCTTGTTTTCTGTTATATAAAAATCTTCCAAGATTATCCACCAGTAATTGAAGCAAAACCAGTTTAGATTTGCAAATTAAAACAAAATCAACTTCTCAGCTCATTTTCACTATGGAAAAAAAGGAAAGAAAAAAAAGGAAAATAAAACTTCATCAGGAACTCACCTCATCTGCAGTCACTGTCATGACACTTCTGCTTTTCTTCATTATCGAGATTCAAGTGCAGCCCGGGATAAAAATCTTGTGGAAAATACAATTTCTTCAGATGGGCAACCTGAAAGGAAAAAAAAAACCCACATTTTTTTTTTTAATAATAAACTGTTTCCCTGATTCCCTGTTCCCATCCTGGGGAATTCTCCTCGTGCCTCCCACAGTCTTTGCCCTTTCAGCAGCACAAAAGTTGTGCTCCTGTAGCAGAATCCAATTCTGGATTAAGATGGGTGGTTTTATCCATCTCCAACAATTAAGAGAAATTAAAAGCCCCGTTATTAAAAGGATTAAATGATCCGTGCCCAGATATCAATGCTAAATATGCCCATGAGATGCACAGATAGGGATAACATGGAATTACTGCTTGCTGCCAGAGAAAAACACACTTTCCCTTAATATGCAGGCAAAATCCATGGGAAAAAAAAAAAAAAAAAAAGAAGGAAGAAGCAGAACAAAGCAGATTTGTGTTTAATCAGGTCGAGATTTGGGGTTAATAAAGCCCAGTTTGAGGTGTTTGTCACTGCTCTGCTGTGCAGGGATTGGGATCCCAACTCAGACTGGAGCTGCTCCCTGAAAATGTGGAAAGATCAAGAAATCAGTGAAGAAATAATAAAGAATCACACAGGGAAAGTTCTGAGAATTGTGGAATCACCAAGATCAGGAATCACCTTTCAGACCGAGTCCAACC